GTAGAGCATTTAAACGGTGTATAAAGGCGACAAGCGTTCCACAAAATGAAAACTGTAGCAGAATGATCGAAATGCTCTGAAAAAACGGTATCGATCCCACTTCTTACTTTTTTCACGAAATAAAATCTGTTGACACTTCCACTGATTCTTTCTGTATCCCCCAACTTTTCCCACCGAAATGCCCCGGCAGAGCGGGTTACAGTGGCGGCGGAACGAAATGCCTTGCAATGTTTCCTGGGAATTTCTTCATCCCATGTGTCCTGGGAGGAAAAAGGGTGAGATCTAAGGCGTCCCTTTTCTGAGAAGCGCCCCACAATCAACTTCCATTAAGAATCTTACTGGCGATTAGATGCTCTCTGACATCGGGCTTACATTCCATACATACACCGAGATTTTTTTTTCGAAAAATTAAAAAACAAGTTTGAGCTACTCACGAATAGCACGTAATTTGCGTTCTCGGATAGGTTAGCAAACCACGATTCTGAGTAGCAAGCAATTTCTGGGAATACTGGTGATGGATCGAATAGAAAACATATCGTGATGTCTGTTATAAATACGGTTACCTGAATAATTCAATTTTTTTCCGCATTCTATGTCTTACCATTTAGGCAAAGAACTTTTTCAATTTTGCATATCTCTTGTCTTTAGCTTAGCATTCACAGGGTAATAATTTCATCTCACAATGGAATGGGAAGCGGTTTCCAAAAAGGACCAGCTTCGTTAAGGTATTGAAACATAAGGACACTAATCGCGACAATTTGAAAATGGAAACCTAGGTGAGGCGTGGATCTCGAAATGAGAAAATGCGAAGAAAACAGGGAGAAAACTTAGATATGAAGACACCGCACGTTCGCCCAATTGGAAGCCGGCCTACAGGAAGAGGTGTTCTAGCAAGACTCCTACCCTGACAACACTGCTGTTGAGCGGTTTTTCGCCGCTTCGTAGCCTCATACAGCTTCTCTAACAGTTAGGTGCATAACTCTTATAAGAGTTATGTTGCCGCATGGTTAGGCTGTGGCGAGTCGGATTTTCATGTCCTTCAGATACAATGAATAGCCCTGGTAACTCACGACGAGGTTCAATAATATCCACTGATATTTCTTCAGTTGTGGAGGAGTTTTTGTGATAATAACAAAAATTGTAGATAACGTAATCGGAATACCAGCTATGCTGATGCAGAGGAAAATAAATTCGAGACTGTTCCTGCCACTGAAGCGTATAAGAGGTCTGCCACCGATGGCGAACCAGCTAGAATGAGCAGAATTAGCGCTAACTTCGGGAAACCATGGCAAAAAATTCCACATCGTCAGGGCTCGGATTACAGGTGGATTTTTTTCCGCAGCCTATGGAGAGCTCTGGTATCCAGCCACAAAAAATGAATTTCATTTCTTTATTTCGCTTCTTTAGTTGGACGATTTCAAGTATTTTTTGGCACACGAACACTCGAAAGGACACAGTCACATACATAGTACACGACCGTCGTGAAAATGATAGGCAAGACAACAAGCCAAATGCTCGATTGACAGTGAACGATTGAATAACCCCTATACGGCGCTCATGTGGCTACTGTACAAACGTGAAAATATCACAAGGTGATTCTTTATAGACCAATTGTAAAGAGGTTACCTGCTAGTGTTCTTTCTATTCCGACAAGTCGTATAATTTTAGAAAATACTTTTGTTTTCATGAAGGAAAAAATAGTACCTGTCAGCATAAGCTTGCGTCTCCGGGGTCCAAATAGCGCTCATGCAGTGAAGAAGATCGTATTCCACGAGGTAAACACTTATCCAATTCAAGGAAACAGATTTTTCAGAATAGCAGTTAGTGTTATTCGATGTCGCTTTGGCAATAGGTGAACAGGAAGATTCTGTAGCAATAGCAGTGAATTTTGAGTCAATGTCACTACAGGTGATTTTAAGAGCAACCAGGAAGTTATCAGGGAGCGCAAACTGTTTTTTAATAAGTAGTTACGTCTTGATTTTTGTCTCAAATGGGTTTTAAACACGTTTTTTGTAATCCACTCTTACAGTAATCTATGAACTTAAAGCGGAATAGAAATACAGTGGACAGTCTTCTCAAGAACGAAAGTTTGCTTCTAAATAGTAGTAAGCAGTAACTATTCGGAAAAACGCAACGAAAATGAAATCCTGAAAATAGCTCAGTTCAAGTTCAGTTTCCTAGTCCAAAGTGTCTTTTGCAACCCTCCGAGGTGTTTTTTTCGTGGATTACACTGGTTGAAATTCCCCAACTTCTGAAGATTCTACCGAACTTCATGGGGAAATTAGAATTCCAGTGATCGCTTGCTACAGACACTCGTCAATCATCGTATATCGATATGAATGCTTCTGCAGATAAACCGAAAACATTTAGAGCCCGCATTTGCTACAGTAATGTGGGCACGGTCTAATCTGCTCGGTTTAAGTCCCATTTCTTGAATACGATCCCATTTTAGGTATCGTATTCAAGAAGGGGTCGCGACTCAATCGGTCACATACAAAGCCACGGCTGGCCCTAGTTCGTCGATAACATGACCGAAAACTATTTTTAACTTGAATTTTGACAGGATGATTACAGTAGTGCTTGTAGATAGGTATAAGTGGAAGTGTGGCAAAGTAGAAGTTGCAAGAGCGAAATGACTGATTCCGCCTCTTTTTTTTTCTGGAAATATTAATGCTAATGAGGAATGGTTGCGAAAACAACCATGAATTTCTTGTTATTACTATGTTTGATTGCTGCGTAATCGCTGAAACGTTTTACGATAACATTTGCATAGAAACTGAGACGATAATTAGCGTTTCAAGAAAAAAACAACAACAAAACAAATCACTGCTATTCATTGCCGTTGTTGTTGTTTTTGTTGTTGTTGAATTCACTTCATCTACAACGTCAAGCAAAAAATGGGTTCCCAGGTATTTTGATCGACGATGAGTTGTGGATTTTGTCATTTTTTTGCTTTTAAGCACATCTTTTGCTTGTTGGCCATACATAATTTCCACTTACAATTTTTGATTGGTAGACAGCTGTGCATACGGGATATCATTATCATTTCCACGGCATTTGTTTGACGTTTTAGTTTACGATGTCACAGTTCCAGAGAAAAATTGAGACCACTCCTTACAAACAGAGATGTTTTTGATGTGCAGCAGAAGAGGTTCATGTGATACTTTCGGAAATCTTTTTGAAGAAACTCACGACCAGGAGTACTCAGGGGTCTGAAAGAAAAACTGGAAAAAAGCGTCTAACAAGAGAAGGATACTTGGTCGCAGTGGCCATTCAAGATGAGACATATACCGTCGTAGGTGGTTTCAACGCTGATCTCAAATCTGTTTTTCAAATCTGCTAAACGATTCTGGGAACAAAGTCACGGGAGGTAAAAAAATTTATTGGTTTACTATTCCCCGAGTCTTAAAATGTGAGTTCGCTCCTTAAATAAGTAGTGGTAGCTGCTACCTGTGATCATCTATACGGTAAGTCTTGAGCTGAGCTCATTCGCCACAATGATTCAGACAACCTTACAACGCGTATTTTGGATACAAAAACATAACTGGCTCATATTTTCTCTCAATTTGTTGTGAAGTAGATGCCCCATGGGAGCAATCAGTAGGGATGGTAGAAATAAAGCACGTGTGTAAACCTCCCACCTCGATAGCCTTTTGTTCTGGATTGTTTTCTGTCAAATATTAATTGAATATGAGTAGGCCTAAAATTATNTGCCCTACTTTTCCGAACCTATCATAACTAAGTTCTCTGGGGTCCTGACTCAAGAGAGTATTGAAAAGTCTCGAATTCACTATAATACTGGAAGTCCAAGTTTTGAGCTTCTTCTCCAATGAACACAACAACGCAAACTTCTACCCTGACAGTCCTTCAGGTCTCTGAATGCTCTAAAACAGCTACCGGTAAATAAGGATGGAGAAACAATTAAAATAATGCCTCTCAACATGAAGAAACTCTCCTTCGCCTGTTCGAAATAGGGCCGTCCGTTCCCAATTATGATGGATTGTTCGGATGCACCGGTGGGATAGCTGGATTATGACTTTATCGTTTTTGTTTTTGGGATTGTTGCACTCAACGGATGATTTGTTTAGTTGTTATATTATCATGATTCTAGAATGGAAGGATCGCTACGAAGGGGACAAACAAGTATGATAGAAACATTTTGAGACCGAGAATGAAATATTATCTTTACAGTATTCCAGTACGGTGAGATTACGCATGAAAAGGAGAAGACAGGTGGAAGCCGAACCTATTCGCTACTGTCCAGCTCTACCCCGCCAATAAAGAGGGTTAAGACCGAATGGGAGTGTTCTCAAAGTGAAATGACGAGCAAATGGGATCGTCTTCAAGTCTAACAATCCCTTTGCGAATTTACCGTCCGAAAAATGGTTGGTCTTGAAAGCTCTTCGATTTTGACTACCTAAATAGTAATTGAGCACAGAACTTGAGGAGGTTGGCAATAAATTCCATGAATTAGGAGAATTCCGTAGATTCCACTTTGCGCACAAGTCCTGGCAGCCGTTACCATGTGCCACGAAAGCTCTTTCTTATATTCAAACTTATACAGAGAAAAAGAAAATTTTGATGAAGATCGTCTCGTCAGCCCCTTTCAGCAAGACAATCCATCAATGCTCATTAACGACTATCCCTGAAGTTACCTATGAAGCTACCGTACTAACCCATCTATTCTATGAATATGCTTGCAACAAGGGCTGGCTATTATCAAACATTCCGGTCTAGCATTGCTCAAAAATATTGCACCCAGATTTTCCTCTGGTATTATGAGGTGAATCAGCGGTAAGAGTATTATCCTTCCAATACAGGTATGATGCACTAGGGCGGGCCAGACGCATTTCAATGCTACCTAACAGAGACATGAGTCCCTACCTTCTCTTATAGCGTTGCTGATCGTTTTCCTTTGCATTTTACTCCATAAACATTTCACTAAGCATTCAAATAATCCGTAACTGAGTGCTCATTTCCTCGACTAATTTGCTTTCAGAATGAACAAAGGTATCGGCATTCTTTTGATCGTCAGTGTAGTCCTGTGTCGTCATCACGAGAAGCGAGGACGTTTCCGTTTCCGTGGGCCACCGATACCACCGCCGCCACCGTATCTCAGGGAAGTAAATGGAACAGCCCGTCTGGAGTACTTCGACATAATGAGAAACAGGAGCCTCACCATCGCACAACAGAAGAAAGACGTTCAGGCTTGGGCTGCGAAATATGACATCACGGTGGGTATTATTTGCAAAATCTAACAAGTAGGGAACAACAGCCAAATTTAGAATGAAGACGTACAGTCCACGTTTAAATTGTAAATTTCACTGAAGTGGACGAGTTTGCTTCACGCTACTTTGACCAGTGTCTTTTGAGGAAATTGTGGATGAGTACAATGCAAATGTGACAAAAATGATAGAAGAAACAAAGAGGAACGTGACTGAACTGATCGACAAGCTGCCAACAGTGCTGCAAATGGTCTACCAAATAATGGACAACGAAGACCAAACCGTTATTCAGCAGCGCCAGGCTTACTCTAATCTGAGTGCGCAATATCCGCAGGTCTGAGCTCAACCTTAAGATATGGTGGAATGTTGATGATTTGTCATCAGGGAGGCTTCTATTCCTATTCAGGAGTACCGTGTAATTGAGTTCACTTTTGAACAATTTCTACCTAAGTGTGGTTGTGGTGGTGAACATGATGGACGTGGTCGAGGTCGCGGTCCACCGCCTCCACCACCAAACTCGCTGAGTAGATGGAATCTTCCTAAAGACGATGAAGGCTACAGGAGCTTTCCAGGCAAGAAATGTATTTTTCAGCAGTTTGAGCACGTTCCGTTTGTTAACGTTGCCTTTCAGGAATTAGTGGTTACGACTTCGTCATGGAATCACGAGATCCAATGGAAAATGGAGATGAAATTGAAATAATCTTCCCAGTTTCTCCTAGCATTGAAGGACTTGATTGGAAAGGTTTCGAAGGAACTTTTTATCAGGGAATAATAAGTTGAGTATGTTAAAGGAGACAATCGCCTTTAAGGAAAGGCCAGCCGTTCCGAAGAATCTCTCGATGCGAGAGAAATCGCGGATTGAAGCGGTGATGTAAGGATCTGGATCACTCAAGATTTCAATTCATTTTTGACCTTTCTCACCAAATAGAACGTACTTCGATCTATAAGGCAGGAATGACTATACGTTTTCAATAAATGAAGTGAAGATTTTGCAGCTTCAACGAACCGTTTTTCGTGATTTTCTAAAAACTCTGAATTTTTAGACAGCTGGGTCTGAATAAATAAGTAGTAATTAGTAAGACGTGGGNCGATTGAAATGGATTCTCCTATATAATATCTTAGCTACATCTTCGACTGTAATCAATTGAACAGGTTCAAAAACCTTCGAATTAGACGAAACTCCGAAGGCCGAGTAGAGGAAAAGAATATTATGACCAGAAAATCAGACATGAAAGCCTGTACGAACTTTTTACCATCTAATTTGTCAAAGCTCTGTTGAAAATTCATTTAAAGAAACGTCTCTTGATATAGCATTTGCATATTCCAGGGCCTAGCTAAGTTAAATGGTAGTCTGGCTCGCCAAACACGTCCTTACTAATTATGTATGCATCGAAAGAGATCTAAAGGCTGGACCTCCTCAGCATCCCTCAAACCTCGTGCCATCAACATTTCCTAATCGAAACCTTGTGAGGGCCTATTACTGCTTTTTCAACGACGAATGTCCTTCCAACTTGGACAAGTGTCAGCCAGAGTGTGGAGTATTCTCGAACAGGACAGCCGTGAATGTTTCCCATTATCCTATCTGATTATTGGTGACGATAAAGGTAGATTTTACCATAGAGCGATTATTTTTAACTCTACCTTGAGAACATAATACAGTAATGTAGCACGTGGTATTACCTATTATTACCATATAGCATTACAGTTCCTCTTAGGTAATTTTGTGTGAGAACATAAGGTTTTTGAGGTAATATAGACCGCAATCATCACTGTAGTACTTCCACCCTCTAAAAGCAGAGATGATAGAAAAAGTGATTTTTCACTGACAATCTGGAGCCACTGGTTAGAGCCTGGGGTCAGCAGCCTGGAGTATGAGGTGAATCGCAAAAATCGAGACACTATGAGCAAGAAATTTTCCAATGATTAAGAAGCGGAGCGAAGAAAAGCCTTATCAAAATGCACTACCCCGCTATTTTATCCGATTGGATTATTCACCATTATTTTGAAAGGAATTTTGGGATTGCCAATTCGTTCTTAGTGAACAAATTATTATACACGAAGTGAATTTCTGAGTTTTGAACAAAATCCCTTGGGTCGCCATACTGCTATGCGCTCGAACTTCCTCAGAAACATTCGTATGCGAATTCTAACGAAAAATGGATCTATGTAGTCCATATTCTGACATTATTATTATCACTGCTAATTACCACTGCTGCTATTAATACCACGTTATCACTGGGAGAGCGGATATGGTATAATGGCAAAAGTAGCCCATCACAAAAGCATGGTCCGGAGTTCAAATCCCGTCTCGAAAATCCCTTAGCACAATCGTTGTGGAAATCGGTCATATCTCAATATTGATGATAGGTCAGATGACCGGCTTCTTTCCGCAAATGAAGACATTCACAACCTTGTCATATGTTTATTATAAATACATACATCCCTTTGACCCTCCGAACCAAGAAGTAAACCTGAACGATGATGAGGAGGACTCGGAAAGTCTGAAGATGTGCTGGGTCGACTGGCATTAAGCCAACTGACGAGACGAAGGGCTATGTGGAAAGTTATGGTGATAAGTATCAAAGGCGGTTGCGATATATCAAAATTACTACATATTATTAAAGTACTTTATATTGTGAACTGAAACGTGCAAATGCTAATTTGAGAGTGAATATACAGTCCGCTGGTAGGACGACTCAAGCATAGGTAAATAGTAACAAGTGCAAGGGGTAAATGGTAAGTGGCTGTATCATAATCCACGATCTTCCGAGCGACCGATCGCGCGATGAGACGCAGTCGACTGGTCGCCGGTCGCTCACGAGACAGGTCCGCGACCGGCAGCTCGCCAAATCGTGGACTATGAAAGCAGCCAGTGAGCTGACTAACCGATCCCGCGACCAGACGCAGCCGACTGGTCGCCGGTCGGTCACGAAATAGGTCCGCGACCGATCGCTCGCCAAATCGTGGACTATGAAAGCAGCCTTTGAGCTGACTAGACAGAGTGGGATAGCCAACACAAGTACTAATAAGAGATGGGACTGGATTCCCTTTTTCACAGGAGGAAAATGCTCGATCTCATAACCGTTTTCAAGATGCTTACCGGGAAAATTAATGTAAAGGTCGATGATTTTNACTAAAAAAATTGCTATGCCTCAAAGTATAATACAATTCAAAAACATCGTGCGGCGTTATCTTAAATGAGGACTTTTTGGGACTCGGTCGGTGGTAAAGTTTCCTTACTACGCTTCCGTTACCTAGCACGTTTTATCCACAGTTTTATCTGCAATTACCTTTTCCCATTTCTCAAGCACTTTTCGTTGCAATAAGTTCAATGTTGATCTTTTTGTTCGCTGGATTTCAACTTGTGTTTTTCTTCTCATGTGCCAGACACATGCAATAAATCTAATCTAAATGAGGAATAATGAGCACTTCAAAATAGTAATACACATGAAAGAATACGAACCGGGGTGGGACACTATGTGCGAACTCCTCAAAGATGATGCAATAGTGGATCATAGTGGATCACCTGTATAAGAAAGAGAGGTTCCTTGGTTTTAGAAGATTTACCATACGTAGCAGCGAAGAAATTAGGCGAGGCGAAGCTTAACGTCGAAACATACAGCAAAGACGTAACACGTGGATAATACGAAAGGCGTTGACGATTTGAGGTCGAACTGACTGGCAGAAAAGACGAATGATGATAACTTAAGAAGAGCGCTCCGGCGCAAAACTCAGCACGTATGCCTTCGAGAGGCAGCCACAGTTTCAACGGTGGCGCGTAGTTCGGAATATGTATGCGAAAAAGTCAAGGCATTATTATTATATTACTTTATTACATTATATTATTCATTATTGGCTGTAAATTTGTTCAATACGTCACGGTTTATACGCGACAAAGATATATTAATGAATTCTGAATTTCAGTACTGATAATAGACACCGGATGTGGTTGTGGCGATATTTATGCATTTGTGAAACAACAATCTATCATCAAGGAAAAGAAGATTATCGTTGTCAATACACATAATCATCCTGAGCAAGTGCTTTATAAGTATTTTTACAAAGAATTTTTTTTGGAATTTTGCCAAGTGTTCATTTCTAGACTGGGGGAAATTTCCACTTCTCGACGACAGGTAAATTGGGAATGGCACATATGGTAGAAGATCTTTGTGCTTCTGGGCGAGATAAGTACTATACCCAATTGAGGAATAGCAATTGGCATTGGGAGGTACGTTTCTGTCCTTTCACTTTCGATTTCGTGAAATAAAGGAAGCTGAGCATTAAACTGACATACATGAATGGCATATTTTCTGCTGGGACTGGATCATTGAACCATGGAAACGAGCAGCTTTTAGGTTGGATGACTGTTGAGAGAACAGTTCAATTGCTTACTATTTCATTTGGTTTTGTTCAGTTTTCAATTTCATCTAAAGAACTGGTTCATCAACTAGGTTTCCTTTTCTGGCATTATCAATCTCTCACCATTTTTCACCTCACCTAGATAAACACCTACAAAGTGACCAGATGGCTGAGCGATGGCGACACTATATTGCTGGGAAATCCGGTCGAAACTCACAACGTTGTAAAGGTAAATACTCCATTTTCTAAGGACTCTTGAATTTTTCAATTTTTTTCCTGAAATCCTCCAGCTAAGCCTGGGGTTCTGATAGGAACTTTGGGCAAGGGAGAAACATATGCACATACATATATGGCAGACTTGATTCTTTTTTTGGAGGAAATCGATGAAATCCATGGAATTGAAGTTCTTAAGTTTATGTTTCCCTCATGTTTTGAGGTATTTTACATTTAGAGTGGCTATTCGATGTCTGTTTACACACTGGATTTTCTTTTGAGGTTATATGGTCCCCTGGTCATACACCGGATAGCCTCGTTTTATGGTATGCTAGCGACAATCGGCTGTTCGTAGGAGATCTGTTTTACAGATTCGAGGATATTATGATGACGTAAGAGCTTCGATTTGAAATGAATAAAATTCCGAGATCCTGGCACCCAGAAGAAACTTCAGAGCTTTCATTTAGTCCCAAATCGATTTCTCAAGCGTGTACTGGATCGAATTCTTAAGTGGTCGTTGATAAGAACTTCCATAATTTTTTTCCCCAGTAGCCGTCAAAAAAATGAGTTTAGTCGGAAAAAGAGATATTTTGCTGTCGTTCTAGCTCAAGTTACTCTGGAGCGCAAGTCTTATTTCATTGAACCTCGCTAATGTCATGGACAACACTGACTTTTTCGCAAACCCAAACATCTCCTGTACATTTGCATATCTATCCAGCACTTCTTAACTTGTTTATTTGTTATATAAAGTTATCATAAGTTTCTGTTCTCCCTTACCCTACTGAAGAGCACTGAGGGTAAGTAATTTAAAGTTCGACTTCCGTCTAGGGCACATGCGAAACAGAATTGAACTACTTCTTTGATTTGTTCCCCCTTATAATGTTTAATTTTTATATTTTTTATTTAATTTAATTTAATTAATCTTCTAATTTTACTTTGTCATAATATTATCGTTCGTAATAATTTATTCAGCCACATTCTGAGTAATAAAACTCATTTTAAGTTCCGAGTATACAAGCATTAGAGAATATGAACAATCACTTAGAACCATTCTCAACTTCATCAATGAACAGCCACAACCAAAGCAGGTCCGTCAAATTCCGATCCACGACCACTTCTCTCTAATTCTATAATCGGATTTCAGATAAGGTACTCGGCTTCGAAGAGCGACAGCGACTCCGAGTGCCTGCCCACTTTTAAACAATTCCATAGATTTTTGTTGGGTATCCTTGCAGGGACACATGTTGGTACACCCTTGAGGTAAGTATTTGCTATTTCACTGTCGTCCCTGACTTTTTATTAGTCCTACATTTCTTGAGCAGAGGTTTGTAGTGGTAGGGAGGGTACTATAACACAGAGATGGCCGGAACAGGATCCCGGCTGCTCGACCTTCGGTCGGGAGGGGGTGGAGGGATGGAAAAGAGCCGAATTTCACATCGATCGGCTGGCCCATAAACCATTGTATAGGCCGTGTACGCACACAAAGCGTCACTTCAACTATAAATGAAATTCGAGTTCAAGGCGCAACTCGAAGACGTGTTCGATTACCGCCAGAGAGGTTTTGCGACGACACTGGCGTCCAGAGTAAGAGAATTGATACCTATCTTTGTCTCTCATCCTGAACGCTAGTGTCGTCGCCGAACCTCTTCTGTCGAAATCCAAATAACTCTTTGAACTCCCATCTTTTTTGATTGAGTTTGTGTGACATGAACAATTCTTAATGGAAAGGTTACTCTTATGGAACTCACTTTGCAGAATTGACGAAGCGGAAGGATTCCGATTTGAAACGCGGGACAAGGCAATGCGTATTGTCATAAGCCGAGAGATTGTAAGGCGACTGAATCAAGCAAGAGAGAAAGCTCAACAATATCGATAATTCTGTTGCCTGTAGCTTCTAATATGTTTACTGATAAAAAGTATTAACAAACATTCTTTTGCGGTTTGATCCCTCTTTCATGGAACCACGGCTATTTTTCCAAAAAGTTACTAACGAGAAGAAGTGAAGTGGAGAACTCAAAAAACAGATAGGACTCCTTCATATGTGAAAAATCTACTACAGGTAGGACATAAGCACGGTTGGAAAAATTATTTAGACGCTGCAGATCAATAGAAGACAGATTGAATGAAAAGTTGAACATCAAATGACAGGTTTTCCACTGATAGCTCAGTTAGCTTGTTCTGTTAGAACACATTCAGATGACTGCCTGAAATAGGAAACTTATTTTTTCGATTCATCTCAAATCACAGAGCTGTCATCATTTTCCTACTGAAATCGAGGGCTTCCGCATTTGCCCACCTTCAAACCAAGAACACCTATGACAACATGTGTAGACTTCATACTTTTCAATATATTTGATAACAGTACCTTAGCTAGTAACTGATACAACCTGATCGGATTAAACCATAGGCGGTGACACGACTGAAATAGTGTTTTTTGCATTAATTGATTTCTTGGGAAATTGGCTAAACATCTTCTTTGCCCATCATCTTGGAACAACTACGATGATAGGTAAGATGGCTGACTCCCTTCTGAACTGATGGCTTTGCAACTAATACGTACATACACCTACAGCCGGTTACTCTTTCAACCCATGAATCATTCAAATGAAATACCTGGAGTTACCACTGGAACTGGTCCAAGAACAGGCACCACAGGGACTAAAAATGGAACATTTCTACATATCTTCAATTCTTAAGGAGTTAGCTGAGTTTCTGATTTCCCTATCATCCTTCAACAATATCAATGTAAGTGAGAAGACCGGCTTCGTTCTACGATTGACATCCTTACGGCTACATTCGAATGAAATCTGTTACTCTTTCCCTCCACGAAACGAATCAACTAAAATACCTGCTCTCACCACAGGGACTGGTTCGATTACAGGCGTCAAAGGAACTGAAAATGGTATAGTTTCACTATTTAAAAACACAGTTTACGACAGAAATTATCTCCGAGTTGTGTGTAATAAGGTTCCCTAAACCAGTTTAACCGACGTGCACACCCAAAGCGGACGAGTTTCCACCTCGTTGTGAGGCTGTAGAGATTAAAGCATTTGCACGGCGACGGACAGATTGCCCGTAGGCAGCTTACTACAGCCAGCTAAACAACGGCAAGCATATTTGAATAGCTCGTCCGAATGCCCTTCCCATGCAGATTTTTCGTCACATTCTTTTTCTACTTTTCGGCTTTTTATTTATATATTTTTCCATCTACTTTTCTACTTTTTTCGGGTCCTGTATTTCTCTAGATAAACTTCTCCCCAGATTTATCGTGAACTTTGCCCTTGAATTTTCCATCATTTTCAACGATATCGATGCCCATTGAAGACTTTAGACTTTATCCAAGACTTTGGACTACCGATGATAGGAAAGATGGCCGGCTCTCTACTACAACTTAAGAAATTTACAGCTACATACAGGAACAATCATTTACTCTTGCACCTCAGAAGATTCAAATGAAATACCTGTTCTTATCACAGGGACTTGTTCGATGACAGGCGTCAAAGGAACTGAAAATGAAATATTTTTCTTAAATATCAGCTCCTTAAGAAGTTAGCCTTATTTTTGATTCCCCTATGATCTCACAACAGTATCGATGGCAGATAGGATGAACGGCTCCCTTACACAAATCCCACTCCCTTTTCCAGATATCTAGATAATAGCAGCTGGCTCGTTATCTACCCATTATATTCCAGCAGAAGTAGCACACGAGTGAGCTACAATCAATTCACTAATTTGGAGTAGCACAGGATTTTTATGTGTGAATATTCCTGGTGAGAGCAAGTTGGAGGGAAGGTTATTTGTTCTGCCCCCAAAAAAATCCTTCAAAGAGAAACCGAATTTCTACAAGACAATTCTGCTGAGGTCAAGTCATATCAATGATAAGATTGGTATCCCGTGATAATTTCCAATGTTGCAATCGGACCCGATTATTTATGAAATTGAAGACGCCTACAGCAACGGATGCATTCATGATCCAGTTCAGTCAACTTATTTACTTGACTTACCTACTGGTTGGAGAACTACTTGTCCTACAGCAGCTGTGATGATTGCAAGCAAAGCGGTGACGATATGCATCCTGGAACAATCATTTCTTGAAATGAATGGGAATTCCAGTTGACTAAAAAAAGGGCCTAAAAGGCCGATGGAGGGGCTCGTTCCTTGGCAGTTATATATAGCCTTAATTTATGGTATTTTTTATTCGTGTTAGTGCCATAATTTAAAAAAGCCATTATAGGCCGCTCCATATTTGTGAGAACAAGAATTTATATCAAACTTATTCTGCAACGAAAAACTTTATCGCTCATGATTTTTGTGAAATTTCCTGAAACTTCTGGCAAGCTTTCGTCATTGCAAAGATAAGAGCCATTGGTGAGCGACGTGGCAAATGATATTCTTGAAAATGGCAAGTGACGAAGTCACTCTGACGTTTGGTGCCGCATTTCACCAGATTCTCTTATACACACCTTGGTATGCCTCAGTCATTGAAAGAAGGTACAGTCGCTTTGTTCTTCCACCATCCCACTTGCTTCAAATTTGAATTTACAAGCCGTTAAACGCACAGTTCATGATGAAAATGGTTTTCGAGTTTTCCCTCTAGGAATGCCCAGTATCCCCCAAAGGTACCAGGAAAGACGCTGTCGGGACAAAACCTCAACAGTTCGGGAGGCCCGTTACCGGACCGCCCGTACTTTCCGCACCTCGATCGGTGTCACGTCATGCAAGTGTCAAGGCGACACAGATTGCAATATTCGCTCCAAGACCCAGAGGCAATCAACGGATCGCCGAGTAATGAAGCGATGTTTTTTCTCTCGTTCTTTTAATCTCTGTCATTCTTTTTGCTGCTCCATCCAAAGAGGCTGAAATATTTTTGCTGTTGAATAGCTGACTACGGTAAGCAAAAATGTTGTTTAAAGTTCACTCACCCAGAAGCATAAATTAACAAAAACGCTAGCGTTTTGTTAATTAATGCTTCTGAGTGAGTGAACTTTAAAGACATTTTTAATTACCGTAGTCAGCTATTCGCACCAGGACCCATACCTAAACAATGACACACATTGTATAGCTCGTCCAAGCACCCATTCTTCTTCGTTTTTCTGGCCTTCTACTCGCAGAGTCCCCTTTGTTACGATTTTTTAAAGCTTTATGTCACTCTGGAAACGCCGATTCGCGCACTTTCTTCGCTTCATCGCACTATTTTCCTCATTATCTTCCATTTTTCGTCATATGGATTCTATAGAATTATCGTGAACTGCTTTCGAGGAACATGTGAAAAAAAATCAATACAAACAAACGCATCCAAATGTAAATAATTTATTTCATTTATTTATATTCATTACATGTTAAGCATGTGCGGTTGCCAAATGGCAACAGAAACAGAATCGCAACAGTACACACAATAGTCGATATAAATATAGTCGCTAGAGCTTCATTGGAGAACTTTACTGGGATGGGCTTCGAGGGCATTCATCGGTTAAGGAGGGTGTCAAGCTTAGTCAAGCGGTTGTACACTGAGCCAACCATGCACCATCAATGAAAAACAAAAGTATAGGATAATATTAATAACACACATGTTGGCGACAGTAACAATAAAAAAGACTGAGGCGACAACTAGCAGTGATTCCTAGGGAGCAGAGAATTTTCTCGTCTATCCGCGGAGAGATCGAATGAGTAACTAGTGTTTTTGCTGAACTTAACATACTCTGAGTCGGATGTATGCGTAACGAAGTGTTTTCCTAGTGAAGTCTTGACTGGAGCGAAGCATCATTCGTTTGAATTGCCTCTGGTTTTTGAAAGTTTGAAATAAATCAACTTACCAGCATCGGGTGAGATGATTTGCTTTTTTCGCTTGATTCGTTTTCTCTAAACAGACTACCATATCGACTATACCTGTTTAGTATAGAGGGCGCAACAATAGGATTCCTGTTCACATCAAGTTTTAACAACGAATAGCAGAAGCTCGACGGGAGAGACACCACCTTTCTAGAAGTGCTCTGATCACTGATATCCTTCACTGAGCTTTCCAAGTTGTTCTGATGGCTTGTGCTAGCGACATTTCTGTGTTGGAACAATAATGACACTGGTATTCGGCAGTCGCTCAATGAGAAAGATGGACCAGGGGGCTGCAACTCACTACATCTCTGTTTTGGAGACTAACAGCTTCGCTTCGTCGAGATCGCTATGTATCACAGCTGCTAGTTTTACGTTCGGAGGCCCGCTTTCGCTGGATTTGTTTGAGATTTAATTATAATCTAGCTCAAGAGAAGCAAAATGAAATCATGGAGGAACTGAAAGACTGTATTGTGAACTCTAACAACAACTACAAAAAGGTGGGTGCTCATATACCGGCTCCGCTAGATGGCAGAGCATTATAAATATAATTGTTGTAGACTTTTAACATCACAATGACGCGGATCCTGGTGGAAGACGGAGGGCATGGAATCTTGAACCAGATTTGAAGATCGGTGGCGAGGCTACGCGGCATCAATGACGTCTACATTGTCTCTTCAACTACAACGCCTCTTCTAATTCTCAACTCTATTACATACAACGCTTGCACCTACGTACAAGATTGATATGCCATCCCTTGAACTCTCCATTTCGAAGTTTGATATCACGTTGATGAAATACTGGTCCCAAAACCGACGAAGGTGGATCAGAAAAGCTGGGAAGAATTTTATCTCTTATCACCAACCCCCTAGCTCTGTTCATTCCTCGGGCACCACGCAGAATGTGGGTGCTAGAGAACACCTGTAGAGACAACAGATTTTGTTGCGTTGCTGCTTAAAAAGGGCGACGTGAATGATATTGTAACCTAGCAATCACATCCTTTTCATTCTATGAGGAAATGACCGTCCAGATAAAGAGAGAAAACTTTGATAGGAACTTCTATGCAAAAATCTCCCTAATCCATACGTCTCTTTGAATTGCAAGACATGGAAGTGAAAGCCATGCTTAAGTTTCATATCTTACATTTCCTTATTTACTCACTAACTTTAGCGTCGACCCATGATCCATCTAAATCTAAGGTTTTTATGGAAATATTAAGTATCGAGTCAGTCATACAGCATATCAAATAACGATTAAAATTTGAACTCCTTCCAACAATTGGCGCCTTACCTCTAATCTTGTTCCCGCCAAACGTTTAAATAGTGCTTTCTATGAGTGTTCACGATTCAAAGCCTCATACGCCGAAATGGTCTACAAAGCCCATGATTTTGGAGAATTCACCCAATGACAGAATACAAGTCTTTCTTTTGTTTTCAGGAGTTTTCACTTGTTTTACACAGTTACTCATGAGTACAGCAAATTCAATAGGTGTCTGTTTCGTGGGACGAGGTTCGCCAGTCGTAACCGACGATTAGTCAGCGCCTTCAAACGGTCTCGTCCCGTGGGCCGGCAAACGAAAAACGCTCTCGTCGTCAACGTGTCAAGCCCTTTCCGCTTCGTGTGCGCGTCGAGCAGGCGGAGCGAAAGCTGTCAGAGCTCGACAACGTGTGCGTGAAGGTCATTTCACGACCGAGCCATGCCAAAGACAGTTTCTAGAACTCGTGCCTGACGATCCTTTTACGCTAAACGTGACTAATGTCTATGAATGCTTCAGCTCAGCTACGTGTATCTAGGCCGAGGACTAAACATGTGAACAAGCTATCTTCGGAGCTAAACAGAGGGAATCGCGCGACATTGAGGGCATCAAAAATACTGAGTGAGTAGTGGAGAAGGTGAAGAATATCTGTCTTTGCCAAATTATTTCGATTAAAGGGTGCTCTCTTCGATGAATCCTGCCTTAGAAGTTGGTGATGCTACCACTCAAATCAAGTTTTTGCAGATCAGGGAAGAAAGGCATGCTACACATACAACTTTTTTCTCCTTCCTAATAGGGGCTTGTGGTTCACTATAGTCCGCCGCCTGTTTCCTGCCCACACTTGATCATTTCCTGATTTCTAGTTGGCTGCTACTGAAGGGACACATGCTGGCTCCTAGTTAGGGTGAGCTTTTGATCAATTTTACAGTGACCCTTACTCTGTACTTGCTCTCATCCCTCTTTTCCAGAAATGCTTAACTTTGATATTGACGGTTATGAAGTACATCTAATTTTAGAAGTTGACTGATTCAGCTGATTAGACGTTTCTTAGAACTTTCCCGATGAGCCTTCTAGCCTCCTCCTCTATTTTACTGCTACACCTTTCCCCTGCGAAGTATCCATTTTCATGAGAGTTCGCAAAAGCTGAAGCAGGGCGAAGTCATTGCAAAGATAACCAGGAGGAATGTTAAAATCTTCTGACCGTAAAATGCTCAGTAGACATGGGAAACGACAGTTTTGCAAGAGTTTATTCGAGACAGTAGAGATAGGAAAATGGTAGTTCGATAATGAATTCAACTTTTACTAATAGATTTCCCATTGACAACCCAAGTCGGCTTTATCAGTTAGAGCCCATTTGGATGACTCCCTGAAATATAAAGTGTATTTGCTCGATTCATTCTAATTTACAGACTGTGCCAACATAGCTGCCACAGCTCAAAACTTGCACTCTTTTTCTCTAACAAAGCCGTTTCTCCCTTACAACCGCGACTTGAGCGGCACACCTCTAATATATTATTCGATTTATTTGATAAGAGTACCTTAGAAATTAAATCCGGAGGGTAGCACTATTGGTGATTGAAAGCCGGAATACGAATGGGCTGAAAATGGAAATTTTCACACATAATCAACTCTTAAGAAATTAACTTCCGATTTGCCAGTCGTCTTACAACGATAACGATGATAAGTGAGAAGACCGGCTCTCTACTACAATTGAAGACAGTAAAATTGCTCAAAACTACAATCTGTTACTTTTCTATACCATGTATCGATTCAAATGAATTACCATGCGTTATTACAGGACCTGGCCCGAGGAGAGGTGACATATGGACTGAAAATAGGAAAGTTTGTATTCTAGACAGTTAACTTAGATTCTGATTGCCCATCATCTTACAAAAATATCGATGATGGGTGAGATGACCGGCTGCTTTCTACAGTTAGCATCATAAACCCTTGCGTTTACTCTTTCACCACATAAACTGATTCAGATAAAATACCTGTCTTAACCACAGGACCCGGTCCAAAGATGAACGGAGAGGAGGAGGAGGAGCCTCCTGAAAACAGCATACATTGCATTGCATTTCCCAAATCTCTGAGTAATATCAGGTGGCTAAATCTATCCATTGTCTTACAAAAATATTAATGATAGATAAGATGACAGGCACCAGATAAATTACCTGTAACTATCGCTGGACCTGGTTCAAGGGGAAGACGGAAGTGGCTTCCTGAAAACAGTGGCTTCTTACATTGCATTACATTCCCCAAATCTCTATGGTGGCAAAATCTCCCCATCAATTCACAAAAATATTAATGATAGGCAAGGTGACAGGCACAAGATCAGCCGTGGGTCTATTTACCCCATAAACTGATATAGATAAAATACCTGAGCTAACCACAGGACCAGGTCCATAAATAAGCGGAGATGAGGAGCTTCCTGAAAAGAGTAGACCTTGCATTGCATTTCCCAAATCTCTAGGTAGTAGCAGGTAGCCGAATTTATCCATCATTTTAAAAAATATCAATGATAGGTAAAGTGGCAGGCACAAGATTGACCGTATGCTCTTTTACCCCATAAACTGATATAGATGAAATACCTGTAACTATCGCGGGACCTGGTCCGAGAGGAAGACGGAAGTGGCCTGAAAACAGTATATAATGCAGTGCATTTCTCAAAATTTATTTTAGTGTCCCCATGAATTGACTTAGATAAGATAACTGTAACTATCGCTGGATCTGGTCCAAGAAGAAGCGGAAAGGAACCTTCTGAATATAACATGTACTGAACTGCATTTCTCAAATTTCTGGTAGTAATAAGTAGCTAGGTCTATTCATAATCTCACAAAAATGTCAATAATAAGCAAGATGACATGACCGAAACAGCCATTTACTATTTGACCACGCGAATTGACTCAAATGAAATACCTGTACCGATCAGTGGTATTTCAAGGGGAACCGGGGTGGAGCCTACTAAATTTAACGTGTATTGAATTACATTCCTCAAATTTTCTAGTAGTAGAAAGTAGCCAGATCTATCCATAATCCCACAAAAGTGTCAATAATAAGAAAGATGACATGACTAAAACAGCCGTTTACTACTTGACCACGCAAATTGACATAGATGAAATACCTCCACTTATCACTGGTCCGGGTTCAAGGGGAAGCGGAGAGGATCCTTCTGTAAATAGTGAATTTTGCATTGCATTCCATAGATTTGTAGATAATGACAGATAGCTCAATCTACCTATCGTTTCATAAAAGTACAAGTTAATCGGTTACTCTCCGAAATGGAAGATAACTACTGCTAGAGATACAATCTTTCAAGCCATCTGGTGCGCAATTCGATTGAAATTAAGTACCTGTCGGTATCACTGGTCCTGGTCCCTGTTGAGTTGAACTGGGTGAAGGTGTTGATGAAGGAGGGAGTTGTGGTCCTAGTCCTAAAAATTGATCAGGTACTCTGGAGAATGAAAAAGTGCCTTGTTCTAAAACTGGGGCACCTACACCAATGAGTTCGTCAAAATTTTACCTAGAAGTGGTTCTATTGATGGAGGGAGTTCTGGTCCCACTCCTAAAATATTTTCGATTTTTTAAAAGAGTAAGACTATTACAAGACTGAACTCTGTTGCGGTTTAGCCATAGTAATGTTAAGATCGACCGGATACTTTTCGAAGTTAAACGCACCTACAACAACGAGTGCATTAAAATTTTACCTGTGAATGGTTCTATTGGTGCAAGAGTAGATGGATTGGGTTCTGGTCCTGGTCCTAAAAAATCCTCAGTGTCTCAAAAGAACTAAACTATTACAAAACCGAATTCTATTACGATTTAGCCATAGTAATGTAAGGTGGACATAACATAACAATTCCTAGTTAGATCGATAGTTCCTGAAGTTGAACACACCTACAAGAACGAATGCATTGAAATTTTACCTGTGACTGTTGCAAGTGGTGCAGCCGTAGATGAAGCAGCAAGTATGGACTCTAAAAAATGCTCCGGTCCTTCAAAAAACAATACTTTCACTCATCCTGAAGACACAGATCACAATAATTTTGGGGCACCCTTTTTAGGTTATACAGCTGAAGTGTTGATGTAGAGGAGTACATCGGTGGTGAAGGAAGCGAAAAAATCCGCCTACTTCGAGGCTTTCTAAAAGTAGCGAAAAAATCCGCCTACTTCGAGGCTTTCTAAAAGTAGTGGAATTGGAGGCTGTACGAGATCACCGTGACCGTAATCATGTAAGGAGTGTTTGGACGAGATTTGACTTGCTCCTTTGCTCAGAGAGATGCCTACATCAAGCCGGAATCTTCCAAAACTGCCTTTCACTGTCGGCATGGGTTGCGACAAGTTGTTTGAACATCCTACATGGGAGTCTCTTGAGAACGTGCAGCCTTTACGAGGCCGTTGAAACTCGTCCACGATGGGTATGGCATCCACATGGTACAATGTCTGGGCCATTATTGTGCCCTATTCATGACGTTTTTCAACCTTATAGGGGCAGGTATGGTATAATGGGGAGCCTCGAACTCATACCACAGGAAAATTTCGGAAACCATTTTTATCGTGAACTGTGCCTTTAATTCTGGATCTGCATGCAAATAATGCTCCATTTTAATCAACCTATTTACTTGATTTACATCAAATTATTTACTTGCTTACCTAGCTGTCCTCTAGCAGCTATGATAATTGTAAACAAGACGGCTAAGGAATACATCCTGAAACGGTAAATTCTTTGAATGGATGGAAATTTAGCCAAAGCAAAAAAGAGCTTATAGGTGCTTATGGAGGGCTGTTTCTTGGCAGCTTTATATAGCCCTGATTTTATGGTATTTTTTATTCATTTTAGTGCCATCATTTGAAAAAAGCCATTACAAGCCGCTTCATGCCAGAATTATTCTGCCACGGAAATCTTTATGGCTCATGATATTTGTGAAAATGGCGAGCATTTCGTTTTTGCAATTATAAAGCCCACTGATGAATGACGTGGCAAGCGGAATCCTTGGATTCACCGATTCTCATATTCCTTCGCCCACCTCAGCCTATTGAAAAAAGGTTAAGTCAATTTGCTTTTCCCATCATCTCATTTCATTTTTCACTTTATTCTTTTCTCTGACATATCGTTTTTATCTAACGTTTAAATTCGAAAAACCATTACAACGAAATATTGGTGCACATACAACAGACGTACATCGGGAAAAACAATTCAGATGGCTGTACTTTAGCGTGGTCTCATCTCAAAAACTGAGTGGTTCTCTCAGATCACAGGATCGTTTTGTTTCTAACCATCAGCTTCTTGTTTGACGTTGAGAGGCTATCACAGTGGTTGGAGTGTTGAGATCAAATCATAAATGAACATAAGCCATGATAAGAATAGCGAATTGACAAAAATACCACAAAACTGTACTCAAGGCTCAAATCATAGAGCCCAAATGAAGTGTGGGTTACTACATAACCTTTGCTGCATGGCATAGCTGCTTTGTAATTGGTCGGAACCTTCCGAGAGCCTAATATTTAGGACTTTGCCCGAGATTATGGTCGAACGTCGAAAACATTCATGTGCTCCTTACTAATCATGACGAAGAGTCATGTCACCCTTTGAGGTCACAGCTATTGATACCTGCCCATAGAAGCAGGTGGATTCAGCGGATATGCTTCACTTTTCTGCTGGTTGGGTAGAATTTTACCTTCTATGTTCTTTCACGTGTAACACTACTGTAATACATACTTGTAGGGAGGGTCTGCGGGTGTTGTCGATATCTTGCACATCGGATCAGACAAAAACTTGCCTTCAAATGAATGGGAAACAAGAGGGAGACGACCCTGTCACGCCTCTGATAAGTTATACCCTTGTACATCGTTCCATCTAGCTCCTCAAAGTATGGCCAACCATGGCGCCACAACCTGGAAAGCTACTCGTGTGTACATATACGCTGGAAGCAGCCTTATGAATGAGTTCTATTCCTCCCAGCTTGAGGGAGCCACCAGTAACACAGTGTTGAATGGGCCCTCTTGGACAAAACTGGTAAAATATCACGGCTATGGCAGATACGCAAAAGACGAAGGATTAGGAAGCGCTGTAGGGATTAGTGCTTTGACAGGAGTTGAGGTAGAGAATGCCTTTCATCCGGAAATAATCTTAATTTTAATTTCTCTATTTTGGAGTCCGACATGGTACTTGACGAAGTATTGTTATGGCATCCGGTTCCAACCAAGTTGATCCGTAGAATCTGGAGTTCAGTTCAATATTATTTCCTCGGCACGTGGCAGACTATGGGCGTCAAGGATTAGTTGTCTTTTTCGGAAGAGGAGCAATGCTGTGTTGCGTTGCTGTATGAGAAATTAGACGTGAACAAGTTGGAGCTTACCGATCACAACCTCGCCATTCCAGAAGAAGGGGTCGTCTACACGAAGAAACTTCATTGAACATGCCTCCCAGAAGTCATGCGCCACTTAGAATGGCTAGTTACGTGGGTTGCTTTTTATATTTTGAGATTTGAAAACAGAAACAAATACTATTTATTGAAAATCGCTTTACTGTCTTTCAGAATTCTCCACATTAAGATCTATACACTTTTGCATGGGCTCGAACCAATTTTCGAAGCACTTTTGCCACTCTGATGTAGGTAACTCTACAACATGGATTCTGAACGCATCAACGGCTTCTTCAGGTGTCGGAAAAAGTTGACCTCTCATTTCATTTTTACGTACGGGATGAGAAGAAGTCACCGGGGACTACATGCCTGATGACCTGTCAAATCGTTGTTTTGAGTGCTCAAAAATGCAGCTGTTTGAGCCGATGTGTGGGAGCTCACATTGTCGTGGTCAAGAGTGGTCCGTCTTCAGCAGTTGGTTTTCCTGATTTTTTGGATGTCAACTGGCAAACAAATGGTTTTATACCACTCAGAATTGACTGTTCTGCTTGTCCTAGTGGTACGGTTGGGACATGTCCAGTTTTTACAAAGAAACAGGAGATCAATTGCTCGGAAGGCTTGGTGCGCGGACAGCTTTTGTTGGATTTGGCTCATCTTGAGTTACCCATACGGTCGACTGTTGTTTCCTTTCGGGCTCATACGGATAAATCCACGATCCACCACCTGTCTCGATGACATAGACGTGTTTCGAAGCACCGCGATCGTATTTTTGATTTCTTTCTTTTTCTTTCCACCAATCGACAGAAGTCCCTTTTTTGGGGGATTGACAAATTTTTCAATAACAATTTTTTTACAGTTAAATGTTCATGCAATGTTGAATGTATGCTGGTCCCACTAATGCCTGAGGTTGTCCCAATCTTACGACAGGTCACATGACGGTCT